ACTTTGGGACTAAGTGACCTAATTCACTCCGAAACTCACCCGAAACCATACCAACCACCCCGACAACCACAATTTAACATAGAGGAGGCAATAAATAGGGGACCGGGGCTAAAATACTTAGAACGACCGGTCGGGTCGTTACATCAACAAGTTATATATACATAATCCCCCCCCCCCCCCATATATATACAGTATGATCTTTCGACAAAAAAGATTCAACTGAACCCGCAATCGATTATATTCTTTGCATTACTAACTTCTTTATTATTAATCTCTTAGCTAGGGGTGTCAATAATTCGGTTACATCATTTATTTTATAAAATTTATATCGTACTTATATTTCAGTTACTTCATTTTATATAATCAAAATTAGACTTTGAAATCGTCCCAATTCTCGATTTTTCTTCGGGATCGGTATGATTCGGTTAATTTTCAGTATTTTTCTTAAAATATCATGTAAGAATCACTAATAGAGAGTTAGAACGTGTTAAGATACATACTTACTTAGGACTTCAACAAAACTCTCTATACATTTTTACAGTTTAAAAGAGTTGAATCAAAAAAATATGAAAGATAACCAGAATAGAAATTTATCCCACTATTTTGCTATAGCGTAAGAGAAATGAAGCAAAGACAAAAAAAATATAGATCACACAAGTTGGAATAAATTAATCAAGATTGGACTCAAAATAGAGTCTATTGGAGGATTAAGTATCCAATAAGAAAAATCTAAATCATAGTGAGAGTAAAGATATTTAATACCTTATGGTTTGATATTCAAGATCACCGAATTACCCTTGGCTTGCTATTCAAGATGCTAGCTAAAACTAATTTAGGTTTGAGAATAAGAAACTTTTTCGTTTTAATTACTTTTTAGCTTGTAATGTTTTCATAATCATGAGGTCCAAAGAAATAATTAATATATTATCTTTTTAAACCTAATATATAAAATATATTTTTTATGCAAATTATTTGGTATAATTTGATATTTTTTGGTTTATTTTTGTATAATAAAAATCTATCGTAATTATTGGTATAATTATAGATTTATATAATAATCTATAATATTATTAAAAAAATCTCGGTTCGGTTCAATCGATATAATCATTTTTAAAGACCCATTAACAACTTATTTGGATGTCTGTTGTATTGTATCGTATTGTTACTTTATATATAATGTTTGTTTTGATTGTTACTTAAATTTTATTGTATTGTATTGTATTATTAAATTCGTCGTTACATAACATCGAAAAGTGTCACATTATGGAACGACCGATTTAGTGTGATCGCATTGTTACCTTATTTTTTTCTTTCATCTTGCCCTTCCTTTGCTATTAATAATTATATTTTTTCTTTTACCCTACCTTTTTATATAATAATTTTACCTCGTAGCTTATTTTTTCTTAATAATATTGCCAATTTATTTTTCATATTGTTAATACATGACATCATAAAACGATAACAAACAATACAATCTATTCAAATATTATATACATACAATACCTACTCTTAGCTTGTGTCGACACCAAACGACTCCTAACAAATTTAATATAGTTATTTTATTTCGACCTCTAAATCCCCTTTCCTAGTCCTAGAGGGCAAAAAATCTAAGAAAAATCCCCAACAAAATCTTGGACCATCCGCCGTTTCAAACCTCTCTGCCTTTCTCCTCAGTCCTCTTCATCTTATCCTCTCTCCCTCCTCTAAACCCTTCCTTAGAGAGGCATAGAGAAATGTCCTGTGCAACAAAGCCAATAATCAAGCCTTCATCCATGGCAACGAACAGTTGCCTCATTTCTCTTCCTCCCCTCTTTGCCACCACCACAAAATCCAAATCTTTTGCTTACCCATATCTCTCAAACACATTAAAACCCATTAAACTCCTCCACCTTTCTTGCACTTATTCACCTTGTATCTTATCCCTAAAAAAGAAAACATCAGTTTCTGCACTTCAAGAAGAAGAAAACACCCTTATCCTTGACGGCCAAGAACAAGAATCTGGAGACTTGTTTAGCATTGAAGCTAGTGGTGAAGAAACAGAAGAAGAAGGGTTTGTAGAGGCAGTTGGAGATGCTGGGGAGAGTGATGAGGTTGAAGCAGAAGAGGAGGAGGAGGAGGAGTTTCAAGAACCACCTGAAGATGCTAAGTTGTTTGTTGGAAATTTACCTTATGATGTAGACAGTGAAGGGCTGGCTCGTCTTTTTGAGCAGGCTGGTGTTGTTGAGATTGCTGAGGTAACTATTGACACAATTTCACTGAGAAGTTCGCATCTTTCTTTTAATTTTTATTTCAGAGGTTCTTGAAATTGACAGTAGGAGAAAATTATTTATTTATTTATTTATGAGGAGATACATGTAGAGCTTGAGTCTTGTAGACACTGTCCTAAGAAACTATTTCAGCTGTTTAAGAGTTTCCTCACGATTAAAAATTTAAACAAGCAAACCAGCAAGTCAATATTGAGCTGATATTTTGTTTTTACAGGTTATTTACAATAGGGACACTGATCAAAGTCGTGGATTTGGGTTTGTGACAATGAGTACGGTGGAAGAAGCTGAGAAAGCTGTGGAAATGTACAATCGTTATGTGAGTTTACGTTAGCCCTTTATTGTATTAAATCTTTGTGTGAGAAGCTTATTCTTGCATGGCACATGCTAATGTGTTTATTTGGAAAAAAATATGGAGAAAGAAGAATTATACAGAGATAACAGTTAGATGGGATTTGAATATGATGTTTACTGTTTTGTATGGCTTTGAGCTGTTTCTTGTGAAGAGACCTGTATAACAATTCAGTCATTTTGTGGTTACAATAGATGAAGCATAAAAACATGGGACGCAAGCATGGGAAGAGAAAAATGTAAGGGTTGGTGAAGAAGTTTAAAAAAATTGTATAATTTAGGAGCTTATTGCTTGTGTGATTTATTCTTCTGGTGTACACGATAAAATGTGAAGGATTTGTACATGTGGTTTATCTATATATTGCTTAGTAAAAAATTTGAATAGATTCTTGTGAAAATTCAATATTTGAAGCACAGATACTTTGATATGTTTCCAGACTACTTCAGTAGCTTTTTGATTTTGATTTTGATTTTTCGCTATGAGTAGGATGTCAATGGAAGACTTTTGACAGTCAACAAAGCTGCTCGTAGAGGAGAGCGACCTGAGCGTCCGCCTCGGGCATTTGAACAGTCTTACAGGATCTACGTCGGCAATATCCCATGGGGCATTGATGATGCACGCCTTGAGCAACTGTTCAGTGAACATGGTAAAGTAGTAAGTGCTCGGGTAGTTTATGACAGAGAAACTGGCCGGTCGCGAGGTTTTGGTTTTGTTACGATGGCAAGTGAAGCTGAAATGAGTGATGCAATTGCTAACCTTGATGGACAGGTAATACGCACATAGAATTTTCACACACAATCGAAGTCATGCTCATTTGTTAATTCATATTGTCTTTGAAGAGTTAACCAAAAAAGGAAGCGTGTCAATTCTCTCAATCGCCTTTCATATTTTCCATTGTCTAAATTTTCATTTTTCTTTTTCGGCTGATCAGTTTTCTAATTAAGCTATTTTATTTGGGTTTCTTTGATAAAATCCAAACTGAATGCTGGAAACTAAGGCCAAAATTACGATATTGCAAAATTGCAACAGCTATATTATAGAGTATAATTATTCTTTTCACAACGATAAGCAAGTCGACGTTAAAGATTGTTGTATCTTTTACCTATAGTTTGTTCATTATACTTATTCACTCAAAAAAACCCTTTTTCGTCATTACCCGAGTTCTTACTGCGCTGATTTAATTATGGCATTAGCAATGCATATGTGATGTTAAATGTTTACGATTAAAACAAAACTCCAATATAGTAGAGTAAGTGCATTAGTTGCTGGAGAGTGAGATAAGCTAATTTTTGAAATAAGGTATTGCTGTTTATTCAACTGTGTTTATACGTTAGAGCCTAGAGGGGCATTACAATGATGTTTAATTGGTACATAAAAGATGAATTTATTCAGTGGTAAGAAACATGTGAAGCTTTATAATATCCGACAGTATGAAATAATATTGTTATTCTGAAGGTCATCTGACATCTACAGCCTAAATCAGATTTATTCATTACTTCTTTATCTCTTAATACAGCTGGTGGGTTTTGATATTTTCGTGTGGAGTTCATAGTTAGGATATATTTGTTTGACAGTGTTGAACTTGAAGCTAACAATTCTCTCCACTGCTGGTATATTACAGAGTTTGGATGGGAGGACAATCAGGGTAAACGTTGCTGAAGATAGATCCAGGCGCAACACGTTTTGATTTTATCAAAGGTTCATTTGTTCTATAAACATAGCGGTTACAAATCTGCAGCTATGAGTGTTTTTTTCGGGAATTTTGGTTAGCCGTTTTCCATTTTAGCACTTGCTTGTAAGCTTTGAATTCCAAGTTTTGAACCCTGAATTAGCAATTGCTTATATATAGATAATGCGTCTTATATTTTTTTCTCTTTCTTTTGATTTCTGGGAACTTCAAATTGGTGGATGAATGTTTGTGGGCGGACAAAATTAGATGTAGAGATGTGAGAATTGGAGTGAATTGTTACTGGATATAGCATGTAGCAAACGTTCTTGTATGCACAGCATGGCTTGCTTTACCAAAGAATTTGCAGCTTACTTAGACATTGCATATGTTAGTTTGTAAATGTAATCCCTCAAAATAGTAGCTATAAACCCATAACTTTGAAAATATAATGGGTTCCATGCTAAAAAAATTCGGATATTGAACCCATAGAGTTTCAATTCTGGATCCACCTCTGCTCGCAGATCGGCTAATCTCAAATATTTCGCACTTCCATTTTAGGTTCCTTGGGCAGCAACATATTGAAGGGAAGTTCCTGAAATGTTCCCTTGTATTTTTATGTTTGCATTTTCATGCCAATTAACCAAGGGGCTTTTCGATTCAACATCACAATATGGTGAAATATTTTGTTAACAAGACTTTCTTAGTATGAGAAATCTAAATAGAAACTAAAACAGCACCATTTCATACATTGATTCATCAGTCCAAGCGTTCGCAGAGCTAGCTGTACAAAAGAAAGCAGAAAAAAGAAGATCTAGTTATACATAGTAAATTAAACTAGGACTATTACCATCACACGAACAGCTTAATTTACAGGCCCTCTAACTGTGAATCCCGACTAGTGAGAGGAACATAACGGACACAAGTCTCACTTCGACTGCTTATCGAACCATCTGAATTCTTGTCTATAACCTGTAGGTCTTGAAAACAAGTTCCTACTGGAATCACCATCCTTCCTCCAGGCTTCAACTGATCTATGAGATCTTGTGGAATATCTCCTGCCGCTGCTCCTACGTGAATGGCATCGTAGGGTGCATGCTCTGGCCAACCCTTCCTCCCATCTGTTATAATACACATAAATCCCATCAACTTATACAAGGAAAATAGTCAAAGTAGAAACTAAGAAATAAGGTTAAGAAACATCTAAAACTTCTCAGTACATGTAAGAATAAATATTGACTATTGACAGTTGTTTAGTTGTGATCCATAAAGAGAGACAACATTCTTTAAGTAGTGGTATATTTCTCAATTCTTACGCTTCCTGCTGGAAATACAAAGCTATAAACCATACCACGAACATGCAGTGAGAGGGACCCGTCTTTGAGCAAGGGAGCTGCTGCACTTTGTTCGACATTCTTCATTGACCATGCAACTAACTCCGGGATATGTTCAACACCAACAGCTCGACCTTTTGGTCCAACCATTAGTGCAAAACATGCTGTGAGATAACCAGTTCCTACAGAAAACAAGCTATTCTGAAGCCAGTCTAAGTGCCAAGTAAAATCAGCATCCGCACACTCATAATAAGTAGATTTACTGGCATTTAGCGAACACCAAAGGAATGAGAAATAGACATCACCACCAAAGAGGATAAGAGGAAGAGAACGAAATTTTTAAGATGGTCAACGGCCGTGAAACAGTTCAATCAAGGTACAAAGTTCAAAGCACTCAAACCATTGCTTGATTGATGAAAAACAAGGTAATTTCACCCTTAGCCAAGCCAACCTATCCTTTTAGCAGGCAAAACTAGCTTAATGCTTTAAAATAATAGCTTAAGACTTCATTAACTGGATGGTTCATTGATTCAAAAATCTAGTTGGTCAGGATGTTTAAGTAAATTATTCAACAAGCTTTCTACTGATCCCCCCTTTGTTGGATTTAATTACTCCGAATCCAACAGAAGTAAATTTCAAAAGGCTAATAGCATCCATTAGAGTTTTCCAATTGAAGTTGATGACTATCGATGCATTAACAACCGCATCAAAGATCCAAATCTACTTAACACACAATATTTGATTTATTTTATTCAGCCATCTTACAGAAAACTCCAATGAAATTGTGTTGTTACATATACCATTTAAACTAGTACCACAAAGAATATAAAATTTAGAATTTTTTAATTACTAGTAACTTCTGAAACAATCGTAGCAAATGAAACATTCACCTAAAATTGGTATAAAGAAGAGTATCTCTACATTCAACAAGCATCTATTGGAAAAAGCTATGACTGTACAAGATCACATTCATTTTGATGCATGAATTCTTACAAAGTGCTCCCTCCATAAACCCGTTTGCTACTTCCATTTCCCGCTACTTCCTACAATCAAACACCTTCAGAAGTTCCCTCCAAGGTCTATACAACAAACTACAAAAAACTCCCTCCACTCCATTTTATGTGGACTGTTTTCTTCTTAGTCCGTTCCAAAAAGAATATCAGTTATCTATACTTCGAAAGAATTTAACTTTAAACTTTTCATTTTATCCTTAATGACATGCTTTAATAGCTACAGAAAGCTCACGGCATTTTAAGATCATAGGTACTATATGCCTTTCTTTCTTTATTAAACTCCATGCAGGTCAAACTATGCTACATAAATTCTTTCTGAAATATATGTTCAACATCAACATAGAATTTATTTTTAAATTAAAAGAGCCAATGGAGCTAGTATAAGCGTCAAATTGTTATCCTATATTTGCATGACATGCAAACATAACATAGATAATTTGGGGAAATAAGAGGATAAAGTTTGAAGATGATTCATTCTCAATCCAACTACCGTGATCTCCCAGAATCATGGAATCAACCAAGTCTAGAAAACTCAGAATCAATAAGCAGCGACTATTTGCCGTATCAACTGCATCCGATGGTGTCACTTCTGTCACCCACCATGTGAAAACCATGCTACTTATGGTAATAAACCTCATGCTTCTAGAGCTTGTAAATAGCGGTTTCTTATTCGTCATAAAGCAAATTACAATAATAACTTAGCAGTTGAATATGAAAGACACACATTTAGCCACATATACAGCGACATCCATCTTAATACCTTCCCACCAATAGTGAAAGAAACAGTATCAATTTGCTAAGACATTGCAGGAATAGTGATGTCGAAAATCACCTGAACCGACATCAAGAGCATGCATGCCAGGCTGCAACTTGTCCTCCAATAATTGAAGACACATAGTATGCATATGAGGTGCTGAAATAGTGGCATTGTAACCTATACTCGCGGGGCTATCAACATAAGCAGGGGTTCCCTCAGGTACAAATAAAGCCCTGTCGATAGTTTTCATTACTTCCACTACTTTCTCAGATCTGATCACTCCATATCTCAGCAACTGCTCAATCATTCCCTTGTTTCTGCTAATTGCTGTTCCACTCCAATATTGCTGTCGACAAACATAAAACAAGAGTGAGATGAGAGATACATTGGCCCATCTCCTGACTTGTTCAAGGTTGAATGGGAAGGAGAAAGAATAGTAAATAAGACATTATAACTACTGTCTCAAGATATAAGAACATTTGATGTGACGATGCATTGAGAAGATCTGCTTCCCAAAAGGTCGTATACATAACCAACGTCCATTACTATTCAAGTGCATCCTACACAAATTAACAGCTATATTATCATCATATCTGCTTCTTTTTTTTCATATTAGGAAAGAAATTCAAAAAGAACCTAGATCAGTGGCAATAACAGCTTATGACTTCACGGCGGGGTGCTTTAGTAGGAATTTAAGAAAATTATCTGGTCACGTAGTCAGATCTGCTTTAACCTTATTTGCTAATACCACTTGGGACTTGCTAATCAAGTACTTGGGTTAGAAATGGTACATTGATTGAAATGAGCTAAAATCCAGTTACTGAATTAGAACTAGTGAAGTTAAGGAAATAATTTCAAGGGAAGAACTCTTAAACCATACAAGCAAAAGTGAGTATAAAGTCATACAAATAACTCATTACTCTTAGTGGCATACTTAGGCAACAAGGTATGGCCAGAGACTTGAGGTAAAACTGTGATGGCAGCTCATAGCAACGCAGATCAGGCTACATCAAGCATGACAAGCGAATTTTGTCCGATACTCTATTTATCGTTTCATAAAGCTGCTTCAAGACAAGCTTTCGTTTAAAGCTACTTGTACTGGCGTTATATGAAAAAAAATATATGCAAATTATAAATGTTAAACTTCATTGGATTTTAAAACTGAAATTAAGTTAAAGTTCTAATCAGCTTAATATGCATGAACTCTAAATACATTAATAATCTAGAAATAATGCCAATTAAACTCTAAACTTTATACAATTCTTCAATAACTAAGAACAGAACGACTGATTAATAACCCAAGAATTAAAAAAACAATTCTTTAGTAAACACAAAAAATACATACATTAAATCTACCAGCTAAAACTACAAATCCACAACTAAGAACTAAATAAAAGAGTAAATACTTCAAGATTTACTAATTGTTTCAATGCTAAAGGGCAAAAATCAAATTAACCAATAAGGTTACATGGGAAAGATGGTTTATTGCAATATCACTATTTCACTTATCAAAATGGGGTCTAGTCACGCGAGAGAATAGGAATAACCATGATATTCACATTCTGTGATTTTTATTTCCCAAAACACACATTATAACATCTTCTTTTCGGAAAAGAATTTTGACAGCAAAGGTTGCACATTCAAGAGATTTCTTGGTTTGCTTGACACTGCTCCATAGTGTGGCTTGTGCCAATGGAGTTCACCCCCTTAATACATGTACCAGTATTTGGACCACCCCCCTTGGAATTACCTCACTAAAATATGATCTAAAATAGATAAAACGAAAGTTAAACACTGTAGGCTTGATAAGAGACAGAAACTGTTGTGACCCATATGGCCGACTTGGAGGACACCTCACTTGCCAGCAAGGACAGTCACTTGACTAGGCACGTGGACAAACACAATCAGCAAGAGAGTGACGTTCTACGTAGGAGTAAACGCGTGAGAGTGCCATCCAAGAAACTAACTGATTTCATTGTGGAGAAAGGGTGATGATAGCGTGAAGAGGAGCAGTAGTGCGCAGCTTAAGAAGAATACCAGATAGTATAAAAGAAGGATTAGTGAATGTAGTAGGAAAAAAAATGGCTTATGTTGAGTCTTTTATTCTCTCATCCTAGTCTAATTTTCTCTGTTTCCCATCCCTTCTTCCTTCTCTGTTCTCTTACTTTTGGTTACTGTTTTATTGCAATTTTCCCTTAAGGCTTCATTGTAATTCACTGATTGAATCAATACAATCTGCCAGTTCCTATTCTTGTGAGTTAGCAATTCAGTTATTACAGAAACTAGTACCCAACTTAACTAACTAAATGTACGTAAATAACTCTACACCAAGATAACCTCAATATACTTGATGTTCGGTAAAATTGCATATATTTAATCATTAATTGTTGCCTCACATTCTAGTACTTTTAATTTTCTTTTGAGTATTAATTATAACACTTTAAGCTTAATATTATATTTTAACTGTGTAGGAATAAAATGATGTAAATATAAAGAAATTTGAAGCAAAATTGAATAAAACGTGAAAGAAAAAGAAAGGAAAATAAACGAAAAAGAAAAAGGGGACACCTTTGGCATTTGTCCCCCAAGTCGAAGACAATTCAAAGCAAACAATCGAACAGTTAGGCAGCAACAAGGAATTTGAGCGTGAAAGGCACACTGGTTCCAGCGCTACGCCAGCGTCCTGCGTGCGGGCAATGTTATTTCGGTCCAATACGATTCCAACTTGTATAAAAAGGGTTCTAAACCTAATTTAGAGGATATCTAACAGACATTGAAGGAGAATTCACGTGGGAAACACAAACCAAGCTTTGGAGGAGCCTTCTAACTAGTTTTTCTTCTCTTCTCTTCCTTTAATTTGTTTACTAGTTCTAGAGTTTTGGGTGCTACATGAATGTTGTAGTTTGAACATTGAATTGTTCTTATTATTTTATCATATTGGTTTATTTATTCAATGTTGTGCTTAATTATTCGATTGCTTGATCACCAATTGAATACTATCTACGAATCTAGAATTGAACTCGGGAGAGGAAATTATAGATTGCATATAAGATAAATTGCATATAAGATAGATTGCAGCGAGATCTTGAACCTGAATAACGGCAACAGATTTGCGGTTAGGATAGGGATCTATATACCTAATCCCCTTGCGTGGTTATTATACGAGAATTATTAATGCGTTCTTGTTAATCCTAATTTCATAGGAACATAAGCGTTAGGTTAGCTTGAATAGGTGAGTAGTATTTCGGGAAAATACTACGAGTAATATTAACGCTGTCAATCAATAAATCAGATAAATTAATTAGACAATTTTTCCCATTGAATTCATCTCTAAGATTGCAGGCTTGGTTCTTTTAATTTCTTAGTATCGACTCTAGATTAGTCGTAGTTAATCACACTTTAGAAAATCGCTTGAATAAATTAATTGTTTGAGTTTAATTTAGTCGATACTCTACTCACTTGGGAGCATCTGTACAAAATAGGAGTATGAATTTTTTAACAGTATCTTCAAGTAAAGCAAACAACTATTATAAAAATTTTAATTTAAAAATTCCTTATACATAGATATTAACCAAATGCTATACCAGCACAAAGGAGTGTCAATATTTTTAGACAAATAGAAGAAAAGAGTGTTATTCCCTCGGTCCAATAAATATATATATATATACATATATATATATATATATATATATATATATATATATATATATATATGAGGGTGTTTGACTGAGCGCAAAACACATAATATAAAAACAAAATATAGCCATTTGTGTGGTTAAATGAGAATTATTTGTAAATATATAAACGTGTCCCACAGATTAAAAAAGAAAAAAATTTGAGACGAAATAAGACATGAAAAGAGGAGAGAGAGGGAACGTGTGTACCTTCATCGAGGAGAAGAGAGGGAAGATTTTAGAATTAGGGAAACGAGAGAAGGAAGATGAAGTGAGGAGGAGAAGAGGAGATTGTAGTTTGAAGGTGGCGAGTGAATTACACTTTACGATAGAGGAAATTAATTATATTGCTGGTAGAGACTGCAACAACAAACACTAAAGACGTACGACATCTTCACTCTCACCTTAATTAATTTAGCATTGTGTAAGCTCTTTCGCACCAACACCTGTTACAGCTTTTTCGCACCAACACCTGTTACACCTCTGTCCCATCCTTTTTTTTTTTTGGTAGAACCTCTGTCCCATCTTTACGCAGCCTCGATACCAAATTACTATACATCATTTATCCGAAACATCAACTCAACTCAATTTAACTATAAAATATGACTCATCAGATAAGTGTTGCCTATCAGATAGGAATTCAAGGCAATTCAATAAATTGGAAGAGCCATGGATAACTATAGTTCATGGGTAATATATACGTATAATAATATTAGGGCAATTGACCAAGACAAGTTTCTAAGCTACAGGAGCATTCGTTCAACATAATCGAAAATAAGAAACCATAAAATTGGCTGGCATGTCTACATATTTTTTACTACTAATTTTTAGGATACGCATTTTGCACGTCTCAAGTTAATGAGTAAAAAATTTTAAAAAATAGCAAAACATGATTGTTAGTGGCGGAAGTATATTTTTCAAAAAATAAAGTAAAATAATAATTAATCAAAATTAACACATATTGTGCCGACCCGGCTGGTCGTTTTGAGAGTTGTAGCCCCATTCCCCCATCTACTGCTCATTTTATGCTTTACGGTTGTTATGTGACTTGCCGGGGTAGTTGGTTCGGGTCCGGAGAGGTTTCATAATGAGTTGAGATACTTAGTCTCACGGTTGAAAGCTTAAGTTAAAATGGTTGACCGGATGTTGACTTATGTATAAACGACTCCTGAATAGAGTTTTAATGGTACTGTTAGCCCCGTTGGGTGATTTTGGACTTAGGAATGTGTCCAGATTGTGATTTGGAGGTCCGTAGTTAAATTAGACTTGAAATGGCGAAAGTTGGAAATTTGAAAGTTTGATCGAGAGTTGACTTTATGGTTACCGGGCTCGCATTGGAGTTCCGGGAGTTGGAGTAGGTTCGTTGTGTCATTTGTGACTTGTGTGCAAAATTTGAGGTTAATCAGACGTGATTTGATAGGTTTCGCCGTTTCGGCATTGAATGTAGAAGTTAGAAGTTTAAAAGTTCATTAGGCTTGAATCGATGCGCTATTCGTGGTTTTAACGTTGTTTGATGTGATTTGAAGGCTCGACTAAGTTTGTATGATGTTTTGGGACTTGTTGGTAGATTTGGTTGAGGTCCTGGGGGCCTCGGGTGGATTTCGGATGGTTAACGGATGAGAATTTAGACTTGGAAGATGGCTGAAGTTGCAGATTCCTGGTGTCTGATTTCCTTCTTCGCGTTCGCGATGGGTGTCCCGCGTTCGTGAAGAGTAGTTGGAGGCAGGTGAAGATTTGTTCTTCGCGTTCGCGTATGGTGAACCGCGTTCGCGAAGGTCTAGGAAGATGGTGTATCGCGAACGCGGGAAGGGGGTTGCGTTCGTGAAGAAGAGAGGAGCAGACTGGGACCCCACGTGTTTGGTCTACGCGTTTACGAAGCTTGGGGTCAGTTAGGCATCACATTCGCGAGTGGTGCCTCGCGTTCGCATAGAAGGCTTTTCGCGGCAGAATGGTTTGTGCTACGCGAACGCGAGAGGAGGGTCGCGTTCGCGAAGAAGGGTCATCTGGGCAGACTTAAATATTTCAGAACGAGGGTTTGAGTTCATTTTCACAATTTGATTTTGGGAGCTTGGCAGGAGGCGATTCTTGGTGAAATTTTCAAGTGGGTGATTGGGGTAAGTGATTCTTACTTACCCCAGATATAGAAAATTCAACAGTCCTCAAAGTCCAAAATAACATGATCCGAATCACACCCGAGGCCCCCGGGACCCCATCCAAACATACCAGCAGATCCTATAATACGATACGAACTTAGCCGAAGCCTCTAATCACCCCAAACAACATCAAAATCACGAATCGCACCCCAATTCAAGCCTAATGAACTATTGAACTTTCCAACTTCAAAAACTAATGCCGAAATATATCAAACCAACTCCGATTGACCTAAAATTTTGCACACAAGTCATAAAATGATACAGTGGACCTATTCCAACTCCCGCAATCGAAATCCGATCCTGGTATCAACAAAGTCAACTCTCGATCAAACTTCTCAACCTTCTAAATCTTCAACTTTCCAACATTCACAAATCAAGCCAAAATAACCTACGGACCTTCAAATCAATATCCGAATATACTCCTAAGTCCAAAGTCACTATACGAAGCGAAACCATCAAAACTCCATCCCGAAGTCGTTTACACATAAGTCAACATTTGGTCAACTCTTTTAACTTAAACTTTCAACCTTGGGACTAAGTGTCCCAATTCATTCTGAAATATCCCCGGAACCAAACCAACTATCCCGGCAAGTCACATAACCACAAATGAACATAGAGTAAGCAATAAATAGGGGAACATGCTACAATTCTCGAAACGACCGGCTATGTCATTACATGATTTGTCCCGACATTGCTCTTATACCTTGTTTTGATTGAGAGATCTTTGTGCTACATGTATTCACTTTGGATGATCATTTGAGTTTATTTCTCCGTGCAAGATATCATGTTTTAGGATTTTATTTCCTAAATTGGCCAAGTTAGACGTTTGTAAAATTATTGCTAAAATGAGTTAACTGACTTTATGCTTATATATCGAACACCCATCCGTATTTCTTTATTGCTATGTCCTTGTGTACTGTGTTGGCAAATTGTGAGCTATGTCTTGATGGCAATTGTTGGCATGTAATGAAATTATGATTGTGGCACATGTGGACGTGTTGGGCGAATTATTTGGGTGTTGGCATGAGGTCTTTGCCGTGCTAATATTATTGTTGATATTGCACATATGGCACGATAAGGCGGGATATGTCGGATTTGTACATGTGGCGAGACAAGGTAGGATAAATTGTTAATATGCATGTGGCAAGACAAGGCGGGCATTTAATTTATTTTAGCACACGCGGTGAGATAAGGATGGTATTGTGATGTTGTTGTATGTGATGGTTTCGGGGGTTATTCTTGTTCAGCTTGTGTGATGTTTTGGATGTCATTTCTGATACTATTGTTGTGATTGGGCGAAAGTAACATGTGTCACACCTCCTTCTTCCTACACCCGAAAGGGTATAAGGGAGTTTTTTCAATTAAAGGACAATCGAAACGAGATTTATTATTAAAGGATTCAGAGTCGCCACTTGGGAGATTTATGGTGTCCCAAGTCACCGGCTTAAATCCCGAATCGAGGAAAGGGTTGACTCTGTATTACAGTCCGCGAACCAGAAATTCGGGTAAGGAATTCTGTTAACCCGAGAGAAGGTATTAGGCACTCCAGAGTTCCGTGGTTCTAGCATGGTCGCTTTGATCATACTTGGCTTATAAATTATTTAATTACTGGTTTTAGAACCTATGTGCGTTTACCTCTTTTAATCAAAAATTATCTTGAAACGGGTTACGCGTACATATACCCATTTATTTGGCGCGCCAAAATCGTTTCACGCGAACGTGTCCACAATTAATAACGCTTTATTATTATTAAGAAATTTTGGCCAAAGTTGCGCGAACGCATACTCTGGTTTTGTTTTTAAAATCGTAATTATGTTACGCGAACGTATACACAATCACAATGGTGTTTTAAACGGCCCTAAAGTCTTTTCTACGAATATTAATCATTTTTAATATCTAGGTTATGAAATTAATACGAGAGCCATAAACTATTTTTGCTACTTAAAATGGACCACCTCCACTAATAAAGGGTTTGGCTGTTCGATTAATGGGCATAAAAGCGAGGCCCGATTTACCAAATAACCCAGCTAAAAATAGGGCCAGCCATGGCCATTGACGTGAAGGCACCAATTTGCAGCAAACTAAACGCATGTCGCGCAGCCCACTCCCTTTCTTATTTTCAAATTACTTTCAAAGCTTTGGGCCTAAATTGAGCCCAATCCCAACGTAATGAAGGGCAACAGCGGGTACCAAATTATTGTGCCCAGGGATCGAATCCTTGAGGAGAACCAAATCCAAACCCCAGGGTCTTGATACAAAACTTCACAGGATCCATTCATATGGCAATCATCAACATAAGCAGGAATAGCTTAATCTAATAGAAACACAAGATGCATAAAAATTCAAAATCTCTCATATTCAAACCCTTAACTCTTGAGGGGGAACTTTCGAAGCCTGTTGGATAAACACAAACATCTAACCATTACTCAAATAGAATAGACTATAAAATTCAGATCTTATTCAAGGTCTCATTCCAAACCATAACTAATCACATCAAGCCAGAACACTTCTTTCATTTTAACCACTATCAAATAAGACCAAACCAACAGGAGAAACAAAATTCAATGGTTGCAGCTTTCAAACACATGCTCAATCCTAACCCTAGCAACTTTTGATTAACAAAACATTCAAGTAATCTGAACTTAAGGACATATTCATAGGTCTTAAATCTAACGGACACTTCTAACAACAACAGTGCCTAAGAATTAAATAGGTGAAAATCAGTAAATGCTACATGATAATCCCATTACAGCTTCAATGTAAAATTCATGACTCAAAGCACGACCTCGTTCTAAACATGCTGAGATAAAAATCGACAAGACAAACTAGGAGAAAAACTAAAAATGAGAACATCTGATAAAAGAGAACATAATCCTCATTTTTTCCTCAACAAGAAATACTTCATGAATCAATCCTTACATGCTTAAGGTCAGGGATATGTACCTGGAAGTAAAAAAGAAACAACAAACGAGGGTCAGCAGAGCAGCAGCAGAACTTGATACCAGCAACACAACCCAGATTCAACGATTGCAACACTGAAAACCAGCTTGAAAATCCAATGAAACAGTGGTCCTTAACATCTTGAAACAGAAAACTCCTCCCAAATTTAATATTACACTATATGAACTCTCAGAATAAACCAAAAATGTGTCCAGACTAGAAAACTTCAGAAATCGACTAAGAAAGGAAAAGAAGATTCAATGGAACAGTGAAAAAAACTCCCAGCC